TTTTCCCCCTTCATAGTCCACAAAGAAGCCCGGACAGGACAGAATTATTCGAGCCCGAAACCCCCCCCCCCCCCCTGATTGATAGATACGACCAGTATCGAATCCCTTCCCATTCCCGCCATCGTATCGTCTCAAGTCCTCTCTCGGCATACACAAGCAAGCGCGTGCGATAGACTGTTTGTTGTTGTTGTTGTTGCTGCCTACTACTTGTTCCAAGCCTTGGCTACTCGGTTCTCGGTTCTCGGTTCCAGCCTCCCATTGTTCACTTCCAGCTTCCCTTCCTTACTTCTCCACAAACTGCAGGACTCTTCCTCCGCGTAATCTCGATAGAAACACTCGTCCAACCTATCGAAAACGAAAGCCCAGAACCAGAAATTCCTCCCAAGCTACGCTACGCACCGAACTATCTCATATAGCCGCCACGTGACCTATCAAGCGATCCCGGAGGCTGGGCGTACCATGGGCGGAGACCCCGCCGGTCCAGTAAACATCGAGCAGCAAACGCGCGGGAAAGTGTATCTACTTTTACGCCGGTGTGATGCCTAGACCGAAAATAGCCGAAAATAGCCCAGCGTGCGTCTTGGCGATTCCAAGATCCGAGTCGATCCAGGAAGCCAGGTTTCGGGACTATGTATATTTGAGGGAAAATTGTGGGAATCGAGGGTAGCGTGAACAAATTAAAAGCAATAACCACCCTATTGTGTATCGGTTTTTCGTGGATGTAAATGTTCCCTGGCCTCTTCGGCAAGATGGCGAGGTGCCATTACGCTATAGTGTGAGTCCCGGTGCTCCAGCCAGAAGTCGTGAACAATACCGCGTTTCTCTTCACTGCTCCTAACGGGTACTTTGTCAGATATGATCCTCTCAAACAGGCCTCGCACCTCGTGAATCATGTTTTCAGCATCTCCGTCGTGTGTGAGATGTCCACATCCAAGTTTGACTCGTGCGACTGAATCATGTTCACGATCATGCCGACGTCGTAGTTCCGTGTTCTGGTGTAGAACGAACGAGAGTAGTACGTCAAGCGATGACATGAATTGGATCCAATTTCCTCCCTCCTCCGGGAAAATGATAGCACCTTGGGTGTCTGGCACGCTTGGGACCTGGCCTGCATTATCAGGTAGTTCAGGAATCGGCATCGCACGCCTTCTCTCGTAGAAGGTGTCACCCACGTAGAGATGGTGCTCGTCAATATCGTACCAAGCCAGTGAGTCGGGAGTGTGGCCAGGAATGTGCAGGAGTTGAATTCGGAGAGCAGTATTGTCCACTGACAGATAGGACATGTGGCTTGCCCAGTGAGATATGGTATATCTCGGGGTTTCAACTTCCATGTATTTGCAAAGAGAATTCTTTGGTAGATCATCTAGGATGAACGACTTGTCGAAGTTCGAAGCAACAATGGTCGGCTCCGTCCCCAGGAATTGCGAGATCCCGAGAATGTGATCGTAATGACAGTGTGAGCATACAATGACGTATTTTCTTCTTCCATCTGGATTCAGGCATTTGCCCTGGTTGGTTTCTACAGGGCATTTTTCCAAGTACTGGCGGAGGGATGTCAAGGACTTGTCCTTTTGCCGAGGAGAATCGCAGCCTGTGTCCGCGACGAGAATGTGGTTTGGGTAGAGTTTGACGTAGATGTTCGGCTGCTCTGCGTAGGCATCGTCTTCAATGACGAGAAAAGTTGACTCATTAATGCGCCTACTGATGAAGCTTGCAGTTGGTAGAGAAGGATGTTCTCTGTCAGAAAGCCACGCCATAGTGGAAAGCTAGGTAGTGAGTGATGACCTGCGGCGCTATGTGACCGATCAGGGTCAGCGAATGTAAAGACGAGCTGTAACATCTGCCCCTTAAACTATACCTCACCGAGCGGTATAGGATGGACTGGGCCAGTCCTCACCCCTTTGCATAACTCTGTTCTGATATAAGGACAGCGTATGAAACTCTCTCACAGGGAGGTCTCTTCAAGAGTGTTTTTGAGTAAGATTGCGAAAGAAATAAGAGATATCCGAGCTGGAGCCCTGACGGAATAAGAAACCCATTGTTTATTCACTGACCTTCTTCACTGACCTTCAACGTTGACTGACTGTCGGTCGAAAGACAGGGGGAAAGCACTGAGACAAGATGGATAAGATCAACGAGCCGCCCACCTGAACCCTGGTGGCTCTCTCAAGAAGTTTGGATTGCAGCGCATGAAACGGATGTTGAAATTTGGAGTCGAGAGAAAGTTGAGATGACATGAAGTTGGAGTTGAAGTGTTGGAGATGAGAGGGAGAGAGGTGAAGCATCTCGCTAAAAGATTAGCTACAGCACTGGCCCCTTGGAAAGCTGGGCATCGACAACCACAGCTTTTCTTCTTCTCTGTGCTGGCATCTGCCCCGACATCCATCACAATAGTTACCACTCAACCATATCGAAGTATCCACGCGCAAGCTGAGCTTCTGCTTTCGAGATCCTCGCCGTGTGCCCTGAACTGCCTGCCACAGGTATGTAGGCAGCGGAGTAGCAAGCACATATTATGGTGTCGAGAAACCCTCGAAACACCAGGAGTCCCATCTCCTTGGAATCTCTCACATCCTCCGGCTGGCCCTCCCATCCTGTTCCCAAGCCCAGCCCATCCCAGCCCATCCCAGCCCAGCATGAAAGTGTGATCGGCGTGGATCTCGACAACGGACCATGCCATATGCCGTCCGACTAAACATCGAGCTCATCCGAGCATACGGAAGAAGATGGGAGAGTTGGCACAAATACGTGGGATCAGGATCTATGGCGCGGCTCTCCATGCTTGACGCCGATACCATGCGACGAACCCTACTTCCTCTCGCTGGGATGCAGCAATAGGGCCCTTGGAAGTCTTTGTATATTTTGAAGACGGTATCGCAAGTCTGGTCGAGTGGTACTCGATATTTGCTGTCGCCTGGGCCATGTGGATATTATAATTGACCATCGCGCGTATCTCTGGCGCACCCAACGGTTTTGATGCCGAACACAGCATGGCGACCAGTAGCTGGGAGGTGGATATCTGTGCCTGGAACCCTCGATCGTCTTTCCCGTGCAGGCATGCTCATTTCCATTTCCATGTCCAGGTCCAGGTCCAGGCCCGTCTCCATGTTCCATATCCATATCCATATTCATATCCATCTCATCTCATCTTATCTCATCTTTTTTGCCTGTCGGAGCTTTGACTGGCTGTCGTTTGAGATTCCTATTTCTTAGTTCTTTGGCAGCCCAGACGCAACGCGACCCCGTGAAAAGGTGAAACCTGTCAGATATTCTGGCTGAGGCGCGATGATAGGTCGTCGATCAACCATACCCTCCGCCACTCAATCGCCTATCGCCGACTCGAAGAAAGAGGTGAGTGAGTCTGGATCTGTCAGAGAACATGAGTATACATTCTTTGTTTCATTGCCAAAATGTTCGACTTGGTTGTTTCTCGAGTTGCTTGGTCTCACCTTTCGAGATGTTTTGTTTGCCCTTCCCTTGTCACTTAAGAAGCTGTCGCCTGTCGCCTGTCGCCTATTTCGGCTTTGTTCACAGCCTTTGACATTGCGCTTGTTCTCCCTTTGCCATTGAATCACAGACAAAGAAAACCACGAATAACTACAATAGTTATTGTCCTCGGCCACTATTCATCAGTGCCCCTCCGATTGTTGTTCCTTTTTCCCTCTTTCAAGTTCCACTATTTAAATCAGAGCCTACGTCCCCCAGATCGGTTCTCTAGTAAACCACACTACACAAACACATACAAATACTTTCAAACTGCTTCAAACAAACTCCACGACAATCTCGAACATACCAGCTGTACTCCATCAACAGCAGCAACCACTTCAACTTCAGACTCGCCGGCGAGCCACTTCCAAATACACAACCGTCGACATCACTCGACCATCATGAGATCCACACTGTCCCTCTCAGCAGGCTTGGCCGCAGTCATCCTGTTGACATGCAACACTATCCGCGCTCACACCTGGGTCGAAGAGGTTAGGAAGATCGCCTCAAGCGGTGCCTTCGTTGGTGATCCAGGCTATATCCGCAACTTTGGGCCCAGACTGCCAGGAGTCAGCCCCGATATCCCGAACGTCCACCTCGTCCCTCCCAACGGTAACGGTCGAAGCAACGCCATCCTCCCGACAGACCTGATGTGCAAGAGCAACCAACTTAAAGGTCAACAAACAGAGGGCTTCCCAGTTCTCAGCGCAGCTCCTCAAGACCAGATCGCGCTCCGATACCACGAAAACGGCCACGTCACGCTCTTCGCTACCAACCCAGGCAAGCCAGCAGGCAGAGGAACGGTCTTTGTCTACGGCACCTCCCAATCTCTGGACAGCGACACCTACCTTGGCATCCATCGCGTCTGGAACACCGACGGCACTGGAGGCGACAAGCGTGGCAAACTGCTCGCAACCCGACCTTATGATGACGGACGTTGCTTTCAAAACAATGCCAATTCCAAGTTGCGAGCTGCAAGCGTAGGCAACTTCCCGGAGTCAGCCGGCGATCTCCTGTGCCAAACCGACGTCCAGCTTCCGGCAGACGCTCCTACGTCAGGCAGCTACACCCTCTACTGGGTCTGGGAGTGGCCAACCCTCGATGCCAGTGGCAACATCGCTACCAACGAGAGCTACACCTCCTGCATGGACATCAGCATGACATCCAACGCAGTGGCTGCTGCCGGCGCCTTTGACTCGAATGCCATCAATGGTCTCGCCGCTAACTCTGCTGCCATCGAAGCTCAGATGCTCCATCCGTTCCTCGTTGACCCGATCGCAGCACCGCAAATAACCCCCGATAACGTGCCAGGCCCTGCGCCCACCACGGCTCCTCCGATCCAGCCCAAGACTGAGTTTGATGTTCCAAATATCGCGGTCCCTGTGGCAGCTCCTGCACCAGCTCCGCCCAACAAGCCTGCTGCGGGCGTCGACGCAGCCCCTCCACCACCATCCAAGCCGAATATCTCGGTCCCTACACCCAAGGGCGCTTTCATCACCGTGACTGTCACCGGAGCCAAACAACTGGTGACGGTCACTGTTACAAAGGAAGTCGCAGTCGCCACCTCTGCCATCTCTACAAGCCTCCAGATGCAGAGCACCGTCGAGACCGTAACCATGACCATCTCACGGAATCCCGCGTCCTCCGCCTCCGCACTTCCCAGCTCCGCCTTTTCCAGTTTCTCTGCCGTGCCCATGGCCTCAGCTTCTGCGTCCGGCGTCCCCAAACCAGCCCCGTTCCTCTCCCCCGACTCGCAGGCGCGGGCAGGCACTGTCCAGAACCGAGCTGAAGCAGAAGCTGCGCCGCAGCCAAAGCAGAAGCGTACTCTCCGATTCCACCCCCGCTCATGATGTACGCACGCACGCACACGAATCAAGGTGTGAAAGTCGAAGAGGGAATTCTCAATCTACATACACTTGCGAAGACAGGACGAACCGTACATAATAAAAGTCGCGAAATTCCGGGGCAACGGCACTACGATAAGGGAGGGCATCTGCATTGCATTTTGCAAATTTTTTCCTTTCTTCTCTTTTCACAAAGGCGTCCTAGGGGGGTACAACAAAAGGGAAATACCATATCTTGCGTTTTGGCCTTTTTACAAGCAGGCAGGCGTTTTCATTTCGATTGTGGAGTTTTACTGTAGATACAGAGGCGTTTATTTTTTTGGCCTCACTGGTTTGAGAGCGGCAATTGATCCGGTACATACGAAAGGGAAGGGAATAAAGGCAGGGGTGGGATTGTGAAGGGATGAACCCTTTGTCTGTCTGTAGATACTGGAAATGATGTCAGAAAGAAAGAAAAAATGAAATAAAAATCACAAAAAAAAAAGAGGAATGTGTTACGGGAAGGAAGGAAGGAAAGGCTGGTTTGGGATGTGACTTGACTTGACTTGATTGGATTGACTGATTCTGATTCGCTATACGAATTTATTAATCTGATCTGATTGGGAAAGATGGAGAGAACGAGGCGTCGAGGGTGGATTCTTTGTTTGCGAGGTATGGTAGATGAGAAAAGAAGAGGAGAGGAGAGGAGTAGAGAGGAATACACATGGAGGAGTGGGAGGAGAGTGGGAGAAGTAAAAGGGGGGGAGGAGAAGAAGAAAGAGTGCAATACTTTTCTTCTTCTCTTCTCTTCTCTTCCTATACCCTCTTCCACACCCTCTTCTATCCTCATCACACACATCAAGAAGCTAATTATAGACCCCCGGATGCATCCATCCGCAAAGCTTATACCTACCGTACCTGCCGAGGCTACGCAGGGACATCAAAAACTCTCGACTACGTACATACCGGTACTTACTTCTAATAGCTAAGAGCGCCAAGTACCATCAAAGAAAGGAAAAGGAGAGGGAGGAGAGAAAAGAAACAAGAGCGGAGTGATTTCACACTACAACACCTAGGTACATACATACATACATACATACATACATACATACATACATACTACATACATAGGTACTACATACATAGCAACAAAAAATACAAAAAACTACCACCCGCTCGCTCCCCGACCATCCTGTCCCGTTTAACTAGTAGTAGTTGGACTAGGTAGGTAGTAGGTACCTAGTTGTAGATCCAACCTTATTCGCCTCTCTGACGTTCGTTTAAATCAAATCAGAAGAAGCTTTGGGATACGTAAAGTAAGGTAGGTAGGTGTGAGACTCCCTCCCCCCCCTCTTTTTTTTTTAAAAAAAAAAAATTTGACTCCAAGTCGCTTCTTCCTCCTCCCACCAGGTTTTGCGCGATCCGGTGAGAGGCTAGGTACCGGTACTCCAGGTACGCTACTCTAGAACTCTGTCTACCAAGGCGGAGATGCAGACCTTTTCCCTTTCTTTTTCCCTCTTCTTCCTCCCGCCAACTACCTACCTACCTACCTCCCTACCTACCTCCCTACCTCCCTACCTACCTCCCTACCTTCCCCTACAAACGACACAGGAAAGCAGCCACCCCCAAAAAAAAAACCCCCCTCACCCATCCTCCCAAACACTGACCCTAAGAGAAAAAGAAAAAAAAAAAGACTTAACTGCCTCTAAAAGGGGAAGAAAAAAAGAATATCTACTCTACTCTACTCTACCCCACTCCACTCCACTCCTCAAGGAGACACGCCCGCATATCTATCTATTTATCAACGATTCGATTTCTTTTCGGCTGCTCTCTCTCTCTCTCTGGACTCTCTAGACTCTCTAGACTCTCTAGACTCTCTAGACTCTCTAGACTCTCTAGACTCTCTAGACTCTCTAGACTCTCTAGACTCTCTAGACTCTCTCGACACTCTCTCTTTCTCTACCGCAGGAAGAGAGAGAGAGAGAGAGAGAGAGAGAGAGAGAGAGAGAGAGAGACGAGC